GTGGTGGTGGTGGTGATGATGGTGGTGGTGGTGGTGATGGTGGTGGTGGTGGTGGTGATGGTGGTGGTGGTGGTGGTGATGGTGGTGGTGGTGGTGATGATGGTGGTGGTGGTGGTGATGATGGCGGTGGTGCTAATGATGGTGGTGGTGGTAGTGGTGGATCTTTTTCTACAGGTCCCAAGTTTAAATGAAAGTCATTGATTATACTCTCTTTCTGTTAAGGACAAAAGGAGTTATTCTTGTCCTGTGTGTGAAAAGTCTTTTTCAGAAGATCGATTGATAAAGTCACATATCAAGACCAACCATCCTGGTAAGGTTATGCATTTTAGAGCAGAAGATTAATTTTCAGATGCTTATGTTTCTTCTCAAGCACAGCGATATCCATCACCTGCACTGAATGGGAATGAAGAGGGATGGAGACATGAGAAAAGTCAAGGGCAACATCTCTCTTTAAAGCTGGGGTTCTTTATATAGCTCTTCATTTATTGTTGTTCTCTCTCTGGTCTCCAGAAGCATCTCTCCCGTGTAGCCCCCTATTTCAAGTGCACTTTGAATGCTCTGACATAGATCCCATCACGCCCTGTTACACCTGGGATACTTGCTCTAGGAGTTTGTGTCTCAGAGTGGTTTATGAAGTGTGTTAGATCTCACCCAGGCCCAGGTGCCTTGGCCCCCCCTCACCTCCCAGGCTGCTCTAGTGTGGGAGGCATGTGCTCCCTGGCCTTCCGTGCTTTGTTACTTCTGTCCTTGCTGCCTGGGCCATATTTCCTCTCTTTCTTTCTGGTGAATTCCTGGTCATTTGCTAAGTTATGCCTCAGAATCCTGCCCTCTGGGAATCTTTTGTGACACAGTCTGGGTGAGGCCCTTCCACATGCTCAGTGCGGCCCTGATCCCCTTGCAGGGCTCTAGCTTCCTGTCACCCATCACCATGTCCACATACCCCCAGTGCCTTCAGAGCCATGTCTCCAACAGGCATCAATGCTGTGAGCTGTACAAATGGGTCATGAATAAGCTAAATGCCCCTTTTCCTTCCTCCTTTTTTAAATTGTCTCTCTGCTCCTGATACCAGGACACCACCTCACTGATTATAAATGCTGACTCCTGGAGGAAGAATGAGCAGTGGGACAGCACTGATGCTTATGTTTCCTGGGAGTAGACAGAGTAGCGGCCTCTCCATGGAGGGCAAGGAGGCTGTGTGATCTCTGAATGTCCACTCCAGCCTTCCCATGCTAACTCGTGTCCCAGGTAGCCTGTGGTCCTGTGTGAGCATGCTCATGTTAGCCACTGACCTTTGTTCATGAGCGGATGCCAGGCCTCCTTTTACAGTCATTGTCTCAAACTTTCTTAATGGAAAATTTCAAACATATAGAAAAATACACAGCACCATATAAGGAACCCCTGTGAAACCTGTACCTCAGCTTCCAAAGGAACTTGATTCATATTTCCCTCCCTCACCTTAACTTTCTTTTTTCTGGACTATTTTTAATTTTTAAGTGTATCCCAGACATCATGCTGTTTCCTCATAATTTTAATACCTACCTCCAATAAATAAGGATGTTTTTCAATGTAGCTGCCATGCCACTCTTGAAACAATCAAAATTAGCAGGCATTCTTTATTATCACCTAGCGTCAGTCTACATTAACATTTCCCTGGTGACACAAAGACTTTTATTTTTTTTTTGATGGTTGGCTCATCTGGATCAAGATCCAGATATGTTGCTTTCCATGGTCATAGCCGTAAGTCTCTCTCGTTCCATAAGAGCTTCCTTCACCTTTCTCCCTCTGACAGTGATTTGTTGGAGAAACTGGGCTCCCTCACACTTCGCGTTTGCCCCCTGCTGCCTCTCCATCCCCTGTATGTTGTGATAACATGATTTAGACCTGAGGCTGGCTTGGAGACTGGTTTCACTTTCCGTTGAGAATTCTGTCCCATGACCCAAGAGACACATCCCATTTGGTGGGATAGCATCCCATCTAGTGATGCTGGGGTTGACCATGGGCTCAGCTGCCATCATGAAGTTTACCTGCAGCTATTGGCCTTGACTGACGTTCTTAGGTTGCTCCTGATTATTGTCCTTTTTACTTCCAGAGGTCTCCATGAGCACCATTTCCGAGGTTCTCGGGAGGAGGGTGCAGCTGAAAGGGTTAATTGGAAAGAGAGCCATGAAATGTCCCTACTGCGATTTCTATTTCATGAAGAACGGCTCAGACCTGCAGCGTCACATTTGGGCTCATGAAGGTGAGTACCCAGGGCTCTTTTAACTTCATGTGACCATGCTGTGCTTTGAATGTACATGTCCTTTATCCTGACTATGGTAGGTGCCAGGTGAGGCCACAGGGCATGCAGCTGGCCAGTGGGAGGGTGAAGACTTGAATGAAGACACTTCTGGCCTCGAATCCTGTGTGATCTCATTTTGCTTCTGTCTTCCCAGTCGTGGTGAGGAGCAGCAATTAGGACTTTGGCTTCTCTGGGTTTGTGAAAGAGGACATGTCCACATTCTGGAGTTATTCACACCTTTAGTCAAATAATACATGAATATAAAGATGGCACAACTCAGCCACATTCACCCTTTATGGGGTTTGTGTCGTCTTCTTTTCCTTAGTGGTCATTGTCCTTGAAACATCTGTACCTTTAGCCTGATGTTGAAGTGGCTGGTCAGGCTGTCATGTGATAGAGATTCTCATGTGATACAGAAGGATGCTATCCGACCCAAGGTGGCACCACAACTGTGAGCTGGCTTTCACCATCAGCTTCCATTGTGTTCACCCTGAGTCATGGCGACCTGTGGACAGCAGAACAACGTGTTGCCTGGTCCTGCATCATCCTCACAATCTCCTCCATGTTCAAGTCTATCACTGTAGCCATTGTGCCTCTCCATCTCACCATCTCTCTGTTACCCTTGTTGGCCCTCTGTTTTACCAACCACAGTGCCCTCCTCCAGCAATTGATCCCTCTTGATGCTGTGTCTAAAGTGAGCACGTCAGACAGTGTTTTGTTGAGATCCATCAGATTTTCACTGGCTGATTTTCAGAAGTAGATCACTGGGCCTTTCTTCCTGGTCTGCTGAAGTCTGCACCCTCCACTAAACCTTCCCACTCTGGATGACCCTGCTGATTTTGAAATACCAGTGGCATTGCTTCCAGCCTCACAGCAACACACAGCCACCCCAGTCTAACACACTGACAGATGGGTGGTGGCTTGATCTCATTAGAGTGTGTTACAAATGACTAACCCAGGAGAGTGGGTGGCATGTCCAGCAGGCTCTTTGGGAGGTGGCTTCTGATCCCATCACCTTACAAACATAAAAACCAAGATCCAAACACTAGGCCAAGACCCCTCATTTATGGGTGCTTAGGCCAGACTCTCACTCCAATTTCTGGAATCCAGCTCAGTGCTGGTCTTTGCTTGGGCCATAAAGTGCAGTCAGGCCTGTGTATGGCTCTTAGCCCTGTGACCCTGGGCACATCCCTCAGCCTCTTGAAAGTCTTGATTTCTTCAACTGCAAAGTCATAGGTAGTATCGATAGTGGGTGCAAATGCCTGGCTCGGTAGCAGTGGTCTGTTAGCCCTCCAGTCCAATAGTAGAGTAGCCCATCACACACAGAGAGCCTATTCACTTGTCTGCATCCCACTACAGTGAAGGTGGGGACCATGTCTTCGTGGTTTCAAGATTAAACTCTCAGTGCAAATAAGTTCTCAGGGAGCATTTGTTGAACGAAGGAGTAGCTGAGTGACAAGATGTCCCTGTAGTTGTCCTCATGAGCTGAATGATAACCACCACTAGTAGGGTTTGTGAAACTTTTTATTTTTAGGCGTAAAATATGCTTTTGTGTCTGGGACAATATTTCATCCATGGTGCCTGATGCCCTTGAGTTTCTTTTTTTTTTTTTTTTTCAGTGTTCCCTCCCATCCCTGGTAACCAACAAAGAAAGTTTCCTTCCATATATAAACCTTTCCTTGACTTTTTACAGTAATGAACTAATACTATATTTGTCCTTCTGTGATTGACTAATTTCACTCAGCATAATGTCCTTCAAGTTCGTTCATGTTATGCGGTGTTTTGCAGAGTCTACATTATTCTTTAGGGTTGCATAGTATTCCATTATATGTATGTACCATAGTTTGGTTATCCATTCTTCTGTTGATGGGCACGTAGGATGTTTCATCTTTTTGTTATTGTAAATAGTGCTGTGATGAACACGGGTATGCATATAACTGTTCTTGTCCTGGATCTCACTTTTTTAGGATGGTGGTTCAAACCTACTAGCCACTCCTTGGAAGGAAGGTTGGGCAGTCTACTTCTGTAGTGATACTACCTTGGAAACTCAAGGAGGGGTCACTATGAGTCAGGTCCAACTGGACAGCACATAACAACAACAACAATGGGATGGCTGGGTCAAATGGTATTTCTAATTCCAGCTTTTTAAGGAATCACCATACTGCTTTCCAGAGTGGTTGTACCATTTTACAGTCCCACCAGCAGTGTATGAGAGTCCCAGTCTCTCCACAACCTCACCAGCATTTGTTATTTTCTGTCTTGTTGAACTTTGCCATTAGAGCTGGGGCAAGATGGTATCTCATTGTTGTTTTGATTTACATCTCTCTAATAGCTAATGATCATGAACATTTCTTCATGTGTTTGTTGGCCGCCTGAATATCCTCTTTGGTGAAGTGTCTATACATCTCTTCTGCCCATTTTTAAAGTGTATTGTTAATCTTTTTGTTATTGAGGTATTGGAGTTTTCTATAAATTTTAGAGACATATCTCTTGTCAGATATGTCATTGCCAAATATTTTTTCCCAATCTGTAGGTTCTCTTTTGACTCTTTTGGAGAAGTCTTTGGAATCACATAAGAATTGAATTTTTAGAAGGTCCCATTAATCTAGTTTATCTTCTACTGTTTGTCCATTTTCGGTTATTCTTGTTAGTCTATTTATGCCATAAATGAGGGCTCCTAAATTTGCCTCTATTTTTTCCTTGAGGAACTTTACAGTTTTAGGTTTCACATTTAAGTCTTTGATCCATCTGGAGTT